GATTGCACTCTAAGGGACAGATACCAGAATGATGCTTTGCTGTTCACTGACTTGACCACATTAAGTACCTGAGCAATTAATACTATGCCAATGTTTAATTGTCCAGAGGCATAAATAGTATATTTTAATTTTAGTGTTTGCCTTAAGATGCATTTCTTTTGTTTGGCAGAAGTAAGCCAATGGTAGTTTAACCAATTTCTTCTAAATTCATAGTATCCCAGCCTGGCTACAAAAACTTTCAAAGACAGCATGTTTGTAGAGTGCCTTAGCAAGGACTGTTGCTTCTAGATTTGCCATTTCCCTTCCCAAGTTATCAAATTAATCTGAAATACCCACTGCCTACTAGAATCACTGTTGTAGTACATAACTACATCCAGATGCTAATAAAGATACAAAATAGCACAGTGTGTGCACACCAGGTAATCTATACAGGTAAATAAAAACAGCAGAACAGGGGGACAGCTCCTGTTCATTGGCTGGGCCAATACTGTAATGATCGTCTGCATAGCATTTAAGGCAGGAACAAATGTGTGTAGTTCAGGCAAGCAAAGTAGGCATGTAGACCTGGCTAAAAAAAAATGGGTCATGAAGGACATTATTCATGAGGATGAGCAATTGTTCAAAATGCAGTATGTGTACTTAGGTATAACCTGTTCCTCAGGTTTGATGTCATGTCTTTGAGGCTAGTAATTTTCCAAGATACAAAGTATTGTACTTAGAATACCCAGAAAATGCAACCTCGCTACAATAAAAGAAATATCTGAAAAGTACAATTAGCATGACAAATGAATAAGAAATGGAAAACGGATATTATTTTAAAATCCAAGCATCAGCAGAGCAGCAGAATGCTGCGAGTAAAAGCTTGACCTCAATTAATTTTCTGTAAATCTGCTGTCTGAAAGCTCCAGTCTGTAGCAGCATGCATACATCACATATAGAAAAATAGGGCTAGAAGATCCTAGGATTTTCCTGTTGTGGTATGTCCTTTCCATTTGATGCAGGTACCTCCCTTTTGAGGCTGATAAGCCTAAAGAAGTAATTGCATCCTGAGCTTGAGAACATGGAGCAAAATGGAGGCTGGATACAATGGTGCCATTAATAGCAACAGTGAATAAGCAAGGATATTGTATGGGTAAACCAAGCATAAACAAGGGCCTAAAATGAGTATGTCATATTTCCTCGGAATGAGGTTCACAAGTATCTCGTCCACTCATATGCCAGGGAAATGGAACATGGCTGGCTATGATTTTTTTAAACCTTACTCAGAGCTTAATACCTTCATCATTTTAATGGGCATATGGGTGCCATGCATGTGTGTGAAAGCAGATTCATCCTTAACTAATCACAAAACTGAATTTTAACATTGAGTTAGGAATACAAGTACATGCAATGCCTTAAAAATGTAACAATCACTGCAGGAAATACTTCACCTTTCAATATCAGTTGCATAATATAATCTCAGAAACAACTACAGCTTTTTGGAGCACATGACAGCTCAGCCAAAATTTAAGGTAGTGGATTTTAATGCTTACGGTATATTAAATCTATGAGCCATGATTAACCTCTGTTTTGAACAAAAAGTACATTTAATAGAAAGGCAGTCAAATGATAATGAGGTACACAGCACAAAAATGAATTTCAAGATAATTGAATCATAGAATAGCAGGGTCAGAAGGGCCCAACCCCCTGCTGATGTAGGATGTCAATTATACCATCCCGCTGAGATAACTATTTTCTTCTTGAATGCCTCTAATGTAGAAGAACACACAACCTCTCCTGGCAACTGGTTCCATTGTCATATTGCTCTTACGGTTAGGAAATTCTTCCTTGTGTCTAGCCTACACCTGATGTACTGTAGTTTAAGTTAATTGTTCCATGTCCTACAATCTGGGATGAGTAAGAATAGCTCTTTTCCTTCTTCTTTGTGACAGCCTTTGAGGTACCTGTAGAATGCTGTCATGTCGCTAGCCTTAGCACTAGCCCTACCCCTAGCCAAATAGGATAATAAAACTAATACCACAAACCAAACACAATAAATAAATCAGAGCATAAACAGTTAATTTCCCAAATATTGACAGTCCTGTCACTGGTGCAAAAAAATTTAGTAAGGGTTGGAAAAAGAAAATTTCCCATATCTCACATGAAAAAAAGTACATAGCTTAACAACGGGCATGTTGCAAAGAAAACAGAACTCAGCTGCAGATGCATAATCTCAGCAGCAAAATAGCAGATTTGTTAACATCTTGCAAGAATCAGTCCTAGAGTTATAGAAAAATGATAGGCAACACTTGTTTGGAAAGGAACAATATAACATTCTGAATAGTTCCTTCACTCAGGTACTCCATGAGCAATGGGACAGCAAACTGCATATTATTGTTGCAGCAAAGGGGAACATTTTACGCCTGGCCTGTTCATTCTAACCTCTAGGAGTATGTCTTGAGTAAACCCAACCAGCACTCTTGGCAGAGTGACTATAACCTGCATTCTGAAGAAGAAGAGCTTGAAGACTTGGCAGGAACTGTGGAAACTCAGGGAGGGGCAGAGGCATTGCTTCAGGCTTGCCGCTCACAAGCTCCCAGGCCAATTGGGAGAACAGAGAAGTTTTAGAGGATGCAGGGGAGGAGGGGGAGCCATTGCCTTGCCTGGCCCTTGACCCCCTACCCAGTAAGAGGGCTTGTGTAGGTGTTGCTGGCTGGACCTTCGCTTAGCAGAAGCCATCCTGAGGATCAGTCCACAGAGTTACTGAAAAGAAATTATTTGGGAGAGGAGTTCCCCATTTGGGTTCGACAGTCTTCACATGACTTATCTTCCAGGTTACTTTTAGACTTAATTTTTAAGTGCCAATAAAGATTTGCTTTGCAAAGAGACTGTTTGATGTTTTGGAGCCTAAGGGCAAAGAGGGAAGGGATGAGCTCATGAGAGTCTGATGTAACTAGTGCATTTAGTATGGTATAAGCTTTCAGATGAAGCAGACTCTCGTCCACTTTATCTGAAGAAGAAATGTGTTCATTTTTAAAGTGCCACAAGATTCCTTCTTGATTTTGCTGCAAAAGACTCACGTGGCTATCCCTGTGCAAATTCATAGGTGTATATTCATAGGCTTATTCTCCTCAGTAGAATAGTCTGCTTTAATTGTGCTCTGTCAGCCACTTTCTCTCCTCCGACGATGCATGATCCCCTTGGCTGCTCAAGGTACCAGTTGGATGCTGCATGGTTTTTTCCTGAATCAGCAATCACTAGTTGCAAAACACCTCTTAAAACACTATTGCTCCTCACAAAGTTACACAATGTTCAGAATTGTACAGTTCATAAAAGCAGTAAGAATGAATGTAGTTACCGAATTAAGTCCAGCAGTGCATCTGCAGAGCTCATGATTGGCTTTCCACTTTCCTCGGTGTTCTCCTTCTGGGCAGCCCCACCAGGATGGATAATGGAAACCATAATGATTCCCACAATCACAGCAACAAAAGTAGTCCACAGATAGTAAGTGACTGTTATGATGCCTAATCGACTGGATGTCTTGGCATCGAGAGCTGCTAGACCAGACATTAAGCTGTTGAAAGAAGAGACAAGGTATATGCTTCTTTAATGATAAGCTTTTTTGTATGAGGCATTTGTTGTACACTCATCATTGCAGTTGTTTACAGGTTCTGTTATTTGTAAATAATATTTTATGGGATTTTTTTAGAAGTTGGGACAATATTTCTGATAGTGAAAGAAAAGCATGATTTCATTTTATGCATTTCTGCTTTCCTGCTATACCACAGTGCTGCTTGGAGGTTATGCAGCCAAAAAGTAGGAAAGCAAATGATCCTGTGTAGTGTTTTGTTCTCAATTCTGAGCTGAAACCAAAAGTAGATCCAGTGGATTAACTACCTCATGTAGAAAAGCATTATATCCATTACTTCGATCACTGAAAGCACAGAGAAGGCAGCATCCTCTCCAGTGAGTTCATTAAATCCTTTACTCTGAGCAAAGATGGCCAAGGAAGAAATTATGACACAATCCCCCCCCCCCCCGTTTTGCATGTTGTGCAGCCTCCCCTACCGTTTCAATTCTGCTTTTACTCAGCAACCTATCACCAGCCCCATCATAGATTGCTGAGTGTGCTCTGCAAACCCAGAGAACTGCATTGTTTAGGGGCTAAATAACCCATCACTTGGCCCATGGTTTGGTGTTGGGTTAACCTCTCAGTTGTGTAGCACCTTAACATTCCTGTGTTCTGAGTTAGCGCATCACCTTCAACACCCTCCAAGTGGCTGGCATACCATAGGCAGCACCCTTGCCGTTTGTCCCACATAGTGTAGGGGCAGCTCAACTCCTGAGCTGTTGCTACATGCAAGATGCCTCAGTGGTTGGGTTTCCACGTAATACTAACCTAGTTGAAATCTAGGCTGCCATTTTTCTGCATCCAGCCATGCTAAGAAATAATGGCTTGTTAACACAGAAACATAGAAACAGAGCGAGTCAGAAGGGGCCTCCTGGGCCATCTAATCTTAACCACAGACAACACAGAAAGAGGGCACATTGTTTGCTGTTAGGTTGTATTTAAAGGCTGCTTATGAAAATGTTTTTTTCCTCAGTGCACATGTACTGTATGAATTATGAAGGTTTGTGTGTTACATGAACAGTTCTCCCATGATCATTTCCCTGCTTGTTATTCCTATCTATTGGGAAAGACACACTGAAACATTCTTCATAATTAATGTGCTTCATTAGTATTTGGGTTTCCTTTTTATGCCTGGACAGAAAAATGCCCAAGTAGGCAATCTAGTACTAATATATGGATCAGATACAAGCTGTGGGTATTTGATTGGGACAAAGTGTGGTGAAAAACACAAAGGAACATTCAGATAAACTTTGCTAAATCTCAGTTGCTAGATAGCTTAGTTTTAAGCTCCTGGAAGCAATTCAGAACTTGCAGATACAGCCATAAATAATTGTAATATGAACAATTTTTACCAAGAAAGTAATGAAAAAATATTATCTCAATGAATGCAATTATCTCTCTCCAGCTTACGCTCCCCAGTTTTGTACATTTTTAAAATCATAGGATAAGTAGTGGAGATTGAGGAACAATTTATCTTCAAAATCTGGCTGATATGAATACAAGTAAGTGCAGTTCCTCTCCCATTGAAGCATCTCTAAAACAGTGTCATTCTGTGTAGCCCCACCCCTCCATTAAGTGCAAATAATGACTAACATTTCTACCAGTCCAAAGATATTTTATAGCTAATGCATCTATTTCTCTTTTAATTTTCTTGTGGAAACAGAAAAGTTGGAAGCCACTGTGGGAAAACATGAGAGGGTTACAAGTAGAAGAGAACAACTTCTGGATCCCCCTGCCCCCCCGCAACAAATTCCGTGAATGAGGCAAGATGATTGCATGATAAACAAGAGCCAGTGTGGTGTAGTGGTTGAGAGCATGAGACTGGGACTCAGACGATCGGTCCACTCAGCCATGAAGCTAACTGAGTGACTTTGGGCCAGTCACAGACTCTCAGCCCAACCTACCTCACAGGGTTGTTGTTGTGGGCATATGATGGAGGAGGAGATGTAAACTGCCTTGAGCCCTTTGTAGGAAAAAGGCAGGATATAAATCGAAAAATTAAATAAATAAACAAACGCCTGGTCTGAAAATTCCTTACAGCTCAGATAATAATAAAAGACTGCCTTCCTTACAATCTGCAGGTCAGCCCAACATAGTGAAGTGATTATGCCACACACACACACACACACACACACACACATTAAACTCACACTGATGCTGGACTGATTTTGTTTATGAGGAAATAGCACAGCAGCCATGGAAACTAGATCTTCCTTTGAAGCTTTCAGGAACAGCTTTCCTGATGTAGGATAATCATAGGAGCATAATTTTAGCTTCCTACTTTGAAAATATAAATCCCCAAAAGGGGTGGGGGGAAGTATGGCTAGAGTAAAATATAGAAGCAGGATTTGGCATGAGATGCTGTCTCCAATGCTTTTGTGTCAATTTCTCCTGTTAACAATAGCCTTGCAAACTAACAAATAAAATCCAAAAAGAGTTCTTTCCTAGAGCATGATGGCAACCATTTGATTAAGTTGTCTAAAAGTCAGGCCAAAATACAACTTAACCTTGATTACAAATGTGCAGAAAATACAGTGGTAGGATTTAGCATTCAGGTTCCTGTCATCTAGTAAATTAATTGAGAAAATGTACTGCTTTTCTGCTTGCCAATCTATAATCCTGCAGGTTCTGCTTTCAGTTCATTGCATTCTGGGGTGGGAGGAAACTAAAATACAGCACTATTAGATTTCACTATATTTCAGCTTCACTCTCTGCCCTAGGATTCCTCCTCTTTAATCTTGGATATAGGAAAACTCTTTGTGATTACCTCACAGTTGCATATTAGCCATCATGTTCAAATGTGCTGAACACTACAACTGTTTTTCAAGGATACAAAAATAAGAAATATTCATTCTTAAAAGGAGGCAATTTTGAAATACATAAATAGAAAATGGAAATTGCTGTTCAATGTCACTTCTCCCAAACTGGTGTTTTCCAGATGCATTGTATTTAACTCCCATCAAGCCCAGCCTGTAATGGCCAATGGATAGGAATGCTAGCAGCTGTAGCCCAAAACTTCTGGTGGGCACCAGAATTCAATAGGGACAAATGCCAAGTTCTGCACCTAGGAAAAAGAAACCAAATGCATCATTACAAAATGGGGGAATACTTGGCTCAACAATGCCACAACTGAGAAGGATCTTGGAATTCACAAACAGAATATGACTTAACAATGTGATGAGGTTCCAAAAAGGGCAAATGCTATTTTAGGCTGCATTAACGGAAGCAGTATTTCTAAATCACATGAAGTATTGGTTCCCCTTTACTCAGCAGTGGTTAGGCCTCATCTGCATGTTCCATCCAGTTCCGGGCACCACAGTTTAAGAAAGATGCATATAAGCTGGAAAGGACTGAGAAAAGGGCAACAAAGATGATCCACGAACTGGACACAAGGCCCGATGAGAACAGATTGAAAGAACTGGGCATGCTTAGCCTAGAGGCTATGATAGCAGTTTTCAAGTACCTGAAAGTTTGTCACAAAGAGGAAGATCCACTATCTGTTCTTGATCATCCCAGAGTGCAGGACATGGAATAACAGGCTCATGTTACAGAAAGTCAGGTTCTGGCTGAACATCAGAAATAACTTCTTGCTTGTATGCTGTAAGCCGTCCTATTTATGCTGTAAGCCGTCCTGAGACGCAAGTAATTGGACGGCATACAAATTTTATAAATAAATAAATCTCATTTGCCCAGTAAAGTGAACCGTGATATACATACGTATATACATACATATGCTACTAGTTCTAAGAAACTTTCTACCAAAGTCCTGGTATACAGTGGTGCAAAATCTTCATGCTCTTATCCATATCTCCAAGATAGGACTGCTTAAAGAACTGTTGCTCTTGTGCAGCAACTATTTAATCTGCAAATATTACCAAATGATTATGCATGCTATGAAAAAAATCACTGATTTCTGCATATCAAACTTCTGCCTAATTCACCACAACAGACTATCCTCACAGGTTATTTATTATTGATTGATTCATCAGGATATGAATAGCATGGAATCTAGAGTGACTTTATCTAGCCCCATCTATGGAATGCGCTCCCCAGAGAGGTCCGCCTGGCGCCATCATTATTTGCTTTTCGACGCCAGGCTAAGACCTTTTTATTCAAACAATATTTTAACAACTCTTAATAATATCTATAGGTTTTAATTTTGCAGCCAGGGTGAGTCTGGGTTTTTAATTGTATTATTTTATTATGTATTATGTTTATTTATTTTATGTGAGCCGTCCTGAGGCTATAAGCGATGGGACGGCATACAAAAGTTCTAAATAAATAAATAAATATTTCAAATATAATCAGATTATTCTAATTATACAGCAAATGTATATAGATGGGTGAAAGCTTTGTTGTTGTAGTAGCACCACCCATGCATTTAATGCGTTACAGAGAATGAGAGGATAGTTCTTTGCCCAAGGAGCAACCATATTGGAAGTAGATACAAAGGATGCAACTGGAGGTGGGGAGAGGAGAGAAAGCAAGGCAGGGATTTTTTCATAGAATCATAAAATAATAGAGCTGGAGGGATCCAAGAAGGCCATTGGGACCAAGCCACTGCTGTTTACATCACCCCACTCAGATGACTGTCCAGTTTTGTCTTGAATGTGCCGAGTGTGGGAGAGCAATTGGTTCCACTGTTGTATTGTTCTGACAGCTAGGAAATGTCCTAACATCTAGCCTGAATCTGGTTTGTCGCAATTTATTTAGCTTAGAATTCTATTTTCATTTTAGTCCCAGGGAAGGGGAAAAGACCAAAGGAATTTTCACATGTTCACATAACCACAATGGTAACCTAGGAACAGATTTCATCATTTGTAAAGGAAACATTAGATATACATTTATCCAAAGTGCTTTATGCCCTCCCACTGAAAAAAGAGGTTTATACTTCAGTCTGACCTGATTCTGTCCATGATTTATAAGGGCAGTTAAGGGGGAAC